CAGTATATATATCGTTATGGACATTCTTAAAATACATTATGTTTTATTAAAAAAATAAAATAAAAAATATATTTCATTATTTATTCAAAATAAAATTTTGCACTCTCACCTCATAGTGACATGTGTTCCATTTCACAGCTAACAACATACAATTCCATGCAACTTCTCCTCACTTGAAAATGACATTAATAAATAAATGTTTAGGATATATAAAAATGCAATTTTTTTTGCATATTTGGAAAATAAAAATTATGGGAAACATAATAATAATAATATCCTTGTGTTTTTCTCCCCGTCCCTCTTTTTACATGTCATTGTTCGTGTATTTATAGTAGTCAAAAGTTTCATTGTCGAATATTGATAATTAGGGGTGTAAACGAACCGAACACTAACGAACAGAGCTTGTGTTCGTATTCAGTTCGTTTGAAATTTAGTTTGTTTGAAATAAGCTCGTGTTTGAAGTTGTTCGTGAAGTCACTGTTCGTGTTTGTTTATTGACGAACGAGCCGAACACGAGCTGTTCGCGAACGACGAGCCAGTTTGACATCCCTAATATTAATATATATATATATATATAAATAATATATTATATTAATTATACAACATGGGCAGTGGGTGGGAATGACAATTAATATGCATGACTATGAGGCTTTGTTTCATCGGTTTGTTAATAGGTGTGAGGACAAAATTCAATGTGGGCATATTGGAGTATGAAGTTAGATAACAATTAGGTGGATCTGTGAAATATATATATATATATATCTATATAGTTATTTTAATTTTTTTATATTTCGAACAATTACGATTCAAACACGAACGAACGCATCACTGTTCGTGTTTGGTTCTTTTAACTAACCGAATGAAAAAAATTTGTTCACGTTTATCTCGTTTCTTATTGAACGAATCAAACACGAACTCATTGACGAACCGAACACGAACTGTTCGCAAACAACGAGCTTTTTTGACAACCCTATTGATAATGTCATTGATATTTTTTATTTCTAATTCGCTGCAATATCTATCAAAATAATCATTAATATGATTGAATCGTTACTCTTCTGATCTCTTCTTCGCTTACTTCTAAGTTAGCGAGTCATTCATTATTCGGTCGACCTTTTCAGTTTGGTTGATTGAATTGTTGGCTCAGTGTATATTAATAGCTCTTTCGGGAGTGATTATCTTACACATTTCTTGTCTAGAACTACTTGATTCTACTTGAATAATAATATTTTACCTGAATATTGTTATGTTCCATTTCAATAATTATAGGTGACTATTTTAAGATCTCTCTCTCGACGTAATTGTTATATTTTATTACATTACGATTTGAAATCCAAAATATTTAAATAATTTGTTTTAAAATAAAATAAGTAATTTTATTTAATTAAATTGATTTGTCATATCCTATGGGACACAGATGCCTTATTTGAACTTGCTCAATTCCCACATTATGGTGAAAATATATGGCACGCTAAGAAAATCATGTTCATAAAAACTGACCATTTAAATGCCAAAAGCAAAAAAAAATTGAATATTACATGACATTTTTTAATTATAATTGAACCCTGCAAATGTTTTTTTGTAATGTAATTTCATAAAAAATGATATCCTCAATTCCTTTTGTCATGCATTCATGTAATTAAAAGAACCTTTATGAGATTGTTATTTTATAAAAAAAAAATATTTTGTTGAATCCTGATCTTTCAGTGACTCGCACCTTCAAGGTTAGAGTATTAGATGAGGATAGAGATAGAGAGAGAGATAGAGAGATAGAGAGAGAAATGCATGGTGATGAATAGAAACTTTTTTTATGTTGGCATCTTTCTTATAAAATGATCCCTTATTTATAGGAAAAGGGGTACAATATAAGGAGTCACATGTTTGTTCTTACTTGAATGGGGTGTTAGAGAATATTTTAGATCTTTTACATGTATAAACAAATGATTCCAATGTGGGCATATTGGAGTATGAAGTTAGATAACAATTAGGTGGATCTGTGAAATATATATATATATATATCTATATAGTTATTTTAATTTTTTTATATTTCGAACAATTACGATTCAAACACGAACGAACGCATCACTGTTCGTGTTTGGTTCTTTTAACTAACCGAATGAAAAAAATTTGTTCACGTTTATCTCGTTTCTTATTGAACGAATCAAACACGAACTCATTGACGAACCGAACACGAACTGTTCGCAAACAACGAGCTTTTTTGACAACCCTATTGATAATGTCATTGATATTTTTTATTTCTAATTCGCTGCAATATCTATCAAAATAATCATTAATATGATTGAATCGTTACTCTTCTGATCTCTTCTTCGCTTACTTCTAAGTTAGCGAGTCATTCATTATTCGGTCGACCTTTTCAGTTTGGTTGATTGAATTGTTGGCTCAGTGTATATTAATAGCTCTTTCGGGAGTGATTATCTTACACATTTCTTGTCTAGAACTACTTGATTCTACTTGAATAATAATATTTTACCTGAATATTGTTATGTTCCATTTCAATAATTATAGGTGACTATTTTAAGATCTCTCTCTCGACGTAATTGTTATATTTTATTACATTACGATTTGAAATCCAAAATATTTAAATAATTTGTTTTAAAATAAAATAAGTAATTTTATTTAATTAAATTGATTTGTCATATCCTATGGGACACAGATGCCTTATTTGAACTTGCTCAATTCCCACATTATGGTGAAAATATATGGCACGCTAAGAAAATCATGTTCATAAAAACTGACCATTTAAATGCCAAAAGCAAAAAAAAATTGAATATTACATGACATTTTTTAATTATAATTGAACCCTGCAAATGTTTTTTTGTAATGTAATTTCATAAAAAAATGATACCCTCAATTCCTTTTGTCATGTATTCATGTAATTAAAAGAACCTTTATGAAATTGTTATTTTATAAAAAAAAATATTTTGTTGAATCCTGATCTTTCAGTGACTCGCACCTTCAAGGTTAGAGTATTAGATGAGGATAGAGATAGAGAGAGAGATAGAGAGATAGAGAGAGAAATGCATGGTGATGAATAGAAACTTTTTTTATGTTGGCATCTTTCTTATAAAATGATCCCTTATTTATAGGAAAAGGGGTACAATATAAGGAGTCACATGTTTGTTCTTACTTGAATGGGGTGTTAGAGAATATTTTAGATCTTTTACATGTATAAACAAATGATTCAATTATCATCTAACTCGATCAGTTAACCTCGATAGGCCTTGATTCAGTAAGGCTTGCTTATTTTGCTATGTTGTGTAGAGGTTGTTGATCGACCTTTGACTGACTTCGAGTCGTAATGACTAGCTCGACTGATTTGATTTTGTCGATAAGCTGATTTGATTTGCTTGTCGATCCCTGATGAGAGCCTACCGTTGGTTGACTAATGTTTTGCTAGTGTGAATAATCATAACTTGATATGTTGGTCACTTCCCAACAAGGAGAGC